GGACTGCCGATCGGCACATCTTCAGGGCAATGATGAATCTGGGCCTGACTTTCTGTGACGCTCCAAACTATTGGAGGTATACACAAAGGAACGGTCGATCGTGCTTCGGTGGGCAGGGCTGCTCGATCTGAGCCTCAGTGGTTTTCTGAAATGACGCCCGAGTTCCAATCGGCCTGGACGCTCGAGATCCGGACCGTACGACGAAGCCTGCTCATGACCGGCTGTCATAAACATCTCCCGAACGGCTTCGCCGCCTTTAGCGATGAGCAGGATTTGGTCTTGGGTCATGTTATGGTGACCTGCCATGCCCACTAAATGATTATCTGGAAGGATGGGAGAGGAGCGAACGTGCTTTAGACCAGTTGGGGAAGGGAGGTCTCGATCGGGGTTTTGGAGAATTATTAAAGAGAGATTTACCTAAATGGGAGTAATTATATTCTCAATTGCCAAGATAAGACCAAAGTTTAATAATTCCCTAAATAGGAGTTATAATTTGCAGTTGGACAAAAATATCCTCAAGCTTGACAGAATGGATGCCCTTGACAGACCATCTGACCTCCGCCTCTAACCGCCGTCGTCCGCCACAGGCCGTCGTCGTTCGCCACCGGCCGTCGTCGTCCACCACCGACCACCACGGGCTGCCGCCATAGCTTCAAAACCAGCCGCGTAACATATCTGAACAGCGCCGCCGTAGGTCCGACCGCCACCTCCCTAGATAGGTCCAGATCTGGCCTCTATTGATTGCCACTCCTGCAGATCCAGCCGCCGCCATTGCAGATCCGGCCGCCGCCGTGACAGATCCGGCCGCCGTCGTGACAGATCCAGCCACTTCTACGGTAGATCTGATCGATGCCTCCACTGATGCCAACCTTTATATCAGAATCCCAACATTAATTGAAGAATGCCATCTTAATGGCATTTATAAAGAAAAATTTGAAATTCTTAAAGAACAAGAATGCCATTTTGTTGGCATTTAAAAAAATTGGCAATTGTAAAACCATATGCTTCGTCATATTCAGTCGAACCATTAAAATCCCCCAAAGCCCAAATAAACCACTCAATTTGACTTCAACACAAACGCATAGCAACTAAAAAGAAGAGAGGAGACCTCAGGGAGTCAGGGGCTTGGCACCACCGCCACCAGACCAGATTCAGACGGGAAAAAATGAAGAAACAAAGGAGTACGTGCGAGGAAGAGGTAGATCTGCTGCCGCTGCTCTCCGGCGTACGCTGCCGCTGCTCGCCGGCGCTTTCTGCCGCTGCTCTCTGACGCTCTCTGCCGCTGCTTGTCATCGATCGCTGCAGTTGCTCGCCACCACTCTCCGTTGAAGCACAGCTACTGTTGCACACACATATGCGGAATGGTCTGAACGTGGGATGAAGGATATGAGCTGCATATGGTTAAATGAATTAGAGGGGTAAAATTGGAAGAATGATCCTATTTAGGGAAAAAAATTATACCCACTCCCATTTAAGAATTTCAGCTATAATTTAGTCCTAATTGGAACTATTTTCCCATTATTAAAGTCAAAATTGATAAGATCTCCAATTGACAAAATTAGAGAACGTGCTTCAGGATGCTCTCGGTCGGCCGAGACTTACTTCTAAGAGCTAAGTATAAAGATTGAATCATACATTTGTACATTAAGATGTTATATGGCCTTACTTCTACGAAGTATTATTTTTTATATCACTATTATTTTAGGGATTAAAAATTCCCAAACCAAATAGTGCCGAGCGAACCCCTGGTGGCAAGCTTACCATCATTTTAAATTAAATGATTGGGTCAATGGGCCGATAGACCAACCCACGATCGGCTATAATGAAGCAATCGGAGTGCCCTCGAGGGGCATTACTCCGACGACACATATTAATTACTATTAGTTGAATAACCATTATTTGTTAGGGATTAAAATTCCCAAGATAAATGGTGTCAATGAAGTTTATTAATAAAATCACCAACATTTTAATTAAATGCTTGGTTTTACTAGACGTGTTGGTCCACCCCCGATCGGTCCAAATTAATTAACAGAAGCGTATCACAGGGGCGTAGCCCGGTGACGCGTTTTAATTTAGGGATCATTCATGGTCCCGATTGGCATTAAATGCCAGTTCGACAATTGTACCCAATACGGGGCGAAATACGTACTTGAATACTCGGCAAACCACCAGGTGGTTCTGGCCATGGGCTATGGTAGTTGGAGAAATAAATCTAGGCCGAGGGTTGTTATTACCAGCTCGGCCGGTGGTCAAGAATAAAAAATAAATAGAAAATGTTATACATGTGTGTATATATATACTTGGATATATTGTTCGGCCGTGCGGTCGTATTACCATGCTGATTGTGCAGTGAAATTCGTTCGATACTCTCGAACAAGGAGATCATGAAGCACATAGATGTTCATGACGATTCGGCATGAAGCGCAGAGACGTTCATGACCGGAAACGAGAAAAGAATCACATTCATTCGGAACAGTTCGGTCAGCTCGAACGGGGAGATCATGATGCACGGAGATGTTCATGACGATTCGGCATGAAGCGCGTAGACGTTCATGACCGGAAACGAGAGGCGTTCATGATTGGCCACGAAAAGAAGGAATATTTATACTCAAAGCCGTTCGGTCAGCTCGAACGGGGAGATCATGAAGCACAGAGATGTTCATGACGTTCGACATAACGCGCAGAGACGCTCATGATTAGCAACAAAAAGTGTGTAGGAGCTTGTGAAACACAGAGATATTCGTGATTTGGCCAAAAAAAATATTGAGAGAGACTACAAGTGTGTAGGAGGAATCATGGCTGATTGAGAAAAGAAGAGACTACAAATGTATAGATATCATGACACGTGAAGGAAAGTCCTATGGACTGTACGATGCACGAGATTTCAGATTACGCTCCATGACTGGCAATCCGGCCTCCACTGTTGGCACATAGAGCAAGCAACATTATGGGCTGAGGGTGCCTGTAAGACCCTCACAGATGGTTGATTATGGTTGGACCGCCATTTTAGGCCACATGAACGGCGTGTCTAGCATGATGGGCATAGGGCGCCTGTAAGACCCTTGGATTTACAGATCGGCCTCTCAGCGCTGACTTTCCTCTCACCACGATCGATCTTCCTGGCTCGACGTGATGATCATTTGGAAGACCGGCCTCATCTCCGCTCCTCGCGGATGAGGACTGTTGATTATTTCTTTCTGATCGGCCCCCAGCGCCGACATCTTTACATGGCCACCGACCCCCTGGTACGGTGCCATAAGCATATTTTGAAGACCAGCTTCATCCCCGCTCCCCGCGGATGAAGATCGTTGTTCGAGCTTTCAGATCGGTGACTTAGTATCGACATCTTTACAGCATGACCATACTTTATGGACCGCCTGCCGCAGTTGCCGCTGTTTGTCCCCATATCATGATCGGCCTCTCGGCACGACATGTTTACTATTTTAGAGGCATCTTCACACTCCACGGAGGAAGACCTACTATCTGGATGATCGGACCGCTTCTATAGCTCTACGCTCGGCCACCTCGGCACGACGTGATCATCATTGTGAGTCCCTGTATTTATGTTTAAAAAAACCAAACGATAACGGTATGGAAAACCCAGAGAGAAAATGAGAGAAAAGGAGAGCAGGGTTCCTCGTTTGTCGCCTCAACCATAGGTATGAGTGAACCGTATCGGAAAAACCGAACGGGGCATTGAAACTGTGGTTTGGAGGTGAAGGGCGGACCATTAATATGGATGTTCCGGACCGGAAAAACCGGACGGGTTGCATCAGAACTATTGGTAAAAAACCTCACTCGTTCATAGGTTCATCGGACCGTTCTAGTGGGAAGAACGGATGAATGGAACTATGAATTGATTGAGTCTCATTTCAGCCAGGGGAGAACGACCCGTTCGTCGAAGGCGAGCGAACAGGGGACACAAACTGACTTGGAGGTGATGTAAAACAAATGGTGGCCCGCAGTGGTCCTGGGCCGACGGGTCCGTGTCTGATAGAGTCCGTGGAGCACCCCGTCCGAAGGATAGGGGAGTTCTACGACCGTGTTCACAAGTACGTGGCATACACATTTGGGCCACCCAAATGTCGCGACGGCTCGTTGAGTGTGGTAGCCATCCCCGACCTATTAGTTAGAGTGATCCGTCCAAATCAGATCGGACAGGTGATCTCGGCTGGTTCGGTTTGAGCTGGGGAATTAAAATTAACATTTTTCTCTTGATCATCTTTGGCAACACAAATGGTTCTTCGGAGCCTTCGTGCCTACTCACGGTCAGGCTCGTCCATCCTTAATCTGGGATGGCGACCGCCGCTTTTATGCAGCACGAACGGGCTCCACAGCACCGTCGTGCCTTGCTCTCGGTTTGGCTCGTCCATCCTTAATCTGGGATGAAGACCGCCGCTTTTATACAGCACGAACGGGCTCCACAGCACCGTCGTGCCTTGCTCTCGGTTTGGCTCGTCCATCCTTAATCTGGGATGACGACCGCCGCTTTTATACAACACGAACGGGCTCCATAGCTCCGTCGTGCCTGGTTGTCGGTCGGGCTCGTCCATCCTTGATCTGGGATGGCGACCGCCGCTTTTATGCAGCACGCACGGGCTCCATAGCTCCGTCATGCCTGGTTCTCGGTCGGGCTCGTCCATCCTTGATCTAGGATGGCGACCGCCGCTTTTATGCAGCACGCACGGGCTCCACAGCTCCGTCGTGTCTGGTTCTCGGTCGGGCTTGTCCATCCTTGATTGGGGATGGCGACCGCCACTTTTATGCAGCACGAACGGCTGGCTTTACAGCGCCGTCGTTCCTTCTTCTCGGTCGGGTCCACCCATGCCATTCAGGGTCGGGACCGCCGTCTTATGCAGCACAAGCGGCTGGCTCTTCAGCGTCGTCGTGCCTAGTGCGGGATTGCACCTCACTTATGACTTATGCATGCCTTGCGTCCGAGATTATTCAAAGACTCTGATTCAGGGAAGGCAGGGAAGGACGTGAGCAAGATTATACTTTCTCGAGTAGATTCACTCCTTCACAGGCTCACTACTCAAGAAACTGGGGGACTTGTGTTGGGGTATACTACCCCGGCCTATTACTGTAATACACCATAAAAAAACTGTAAAATTGGGGAGCATGAATGTGGATGCTCTTATGATATTAAATTGTATCACAGTGTGAAACAAATTTTAAGTATTTACTTAAAATTGATCGCAAATAATAATATGTGAGAATATCGGGTACAATCTCTAAATATGAATCCTCTGATTCTTCACTTGCAATTTGATATGAATATAATTAAAGAATTTAATTTAAAATTAAATCTCTAATTCTTCAAATATTCGAACGTTCTTCGAATCTTCGAATCTTCGTTCTTGAGATCTTCAAATCTTCGAACTTCGTTCTTCAGATCTTCAAATCTTCTTGAATGCAAAATTCAATATTGAAGGGCCTCCGGTTTCAAGTAGCTTGATCTTCAACAAAAGGGCCATTATGTGGCTTGATCTTCTGTTAAAGGGCTTCCCGGGATATATGGCTTGATCTTCAATTGAATATTGATTCAATCTTCATATGAATATCTTCAAATCTTCAAAGACTCGTTCTTCATATCTTCGAATCTTCAAAGCTTCGTTCTTCAGATCTTCGAATCTTCAAGCTTCGTTCTTCAGATCTTCGAACGTTCTTCAACTTTTGGCTTTGTTTGATCAAGAATCGATGAAATCACAAAGGATTATTCATATATTCTTGACAAAAACGTGGCTTGATCTCTTCCTCTTCTTCGGAATCCTTCAGAGCCTTTCGGGAGTTCTTCGGAGCTTTGCTGCAGCGTTTCTTCGTCTGGAAGTTCTCCTCCCATTCTCTCAAATGAGACCCCTATTTATAGGTGTGGAGGAGGTGAAAATATGGCCTAGGGTTGCTGAAATTCGTCCATACCTCATGGGCCTCAATTAAAATGGGCTTCGGGCTCTATTTTCTTGCATTTTAATAGCTAGAAAAATTAGCACTTATATAATGTATCTGGACAGCCTTTTTAACAAGATTCGCAGCCACTTTCCATGCATACAAACATATTTCTTAACCAGATTCATTGCTCTCTTTATCGATTGGGTATATCTCTTATTATACTGGGCCACAATTTAGTAATGGGCTCAAAATAAAGAAATTAATAGGACCAGTCCATTCTTCTAAAGGTTTAATTAAATTAATTGGATATTTCAAGTGATCCAAATTAATCTAATTACTAAATTCTATCTGAACGGATCCATATTAATATTTTCCTTTTGATATGAGTGGTCCAGTAGAATCCGATTTTGGCCCAATAAATTCAAAAGAGGCCCAAAAAGGTCAATTATAGCTCGATACCATTTGAAGAGGCCCAATAATCATCTCAACTAGTCCAATAATTTTTATATGTCCACAAATGCCCCTCGAGACTTGCTTGAATATCTTAAGAGGTAAAGTAAGTCTCGAAATAAGTGGACCCGATATCTCTAAGTGCCTTGAAATATGTTTTCTCCCTTAACGTAGGTTAAAATATTCATGAAATTAGTAGCCCAACTTCTTTATTCTATAAAAAAAAAACTTAAGAGCTTGAGATCAAGTAGGACATGCTTCGTCCAATTCATCTAAATTGTGGGTCCGCTAGCTCATCAATTCAATTCAAAGAATGAATTTGAGAATATGTAATATTTTAAAACTTTTTGTTCATTCTCTTCTTAAAATAACGAACTCAATCAATCGTGCGGCGCAAGGCAGTATCAGTTCAGATTAACAAACTCTTAGAACTCCAACTAGGATTCTAAGCTTTAAAAGCCCTCATTAGATTCAAATACTTCAAGCTTCCTCCGCACCGTAACTCGATTGAAATTCTAAGATCCAAACTGCCTATAAATATCACCGAACCTGATGGAGTTTAGCACGCCGGCCGAAGATGGTAAATATATTGACTCCTTTCACACCTCTCTTAATTTGGTTATTTTATGTTTCAGGGCTAGTTCAAGGCTGAAATTCAGATGCTATCATGCCCGACAAACATCATGTTGGCCAATATATTCAATTATTGCCAATTAAGCTGAAGACGGAGTTCAAAATCCCGGAGGCAGACGAAGCATAGCGGATTGCTGGTGCCGCTTGCCAGAGGTCAGTGGTCATAGGCCGAGCTGGATATTGATTCTTCTGGTGATGTTGCAGTTTCGAAAGGCCGCCGCTGCCGCTGATTTCTTCCTGGTTTATTTTGCTCGTCGGCCAGAAGATGAAGTTGATCTGTTGACTGCGCCCTTTTTGTGCGATGAAGATGATAAACTGGGTTTGACCGGAGAAGATGGTGGGCCCGATTTCATCGCTGGAGCCGTCGCTAGAGAGAGGAGTACCGGTTTTGGCGAGAAGAATGAACGAGATTTGTTGGCGCTGATATTCTTTTGCTTGTGCGGAGGACCAGATGGTTTCAATTAATCGTTGCTCTCTGCTCAAGTGAAAAGAAGACTAGCTGCGGGTTTCATCGGAGAGTAACATCTTGCCGCCGCCGCCGTTTTCTTTTAGCCCAACCATTCCGCCTGCTTGCCGGAAAGGAGCTCAATTGATCACAGTTGGCGTTGATTTCTCTCGAATTGCGTTCGTTCATCGGAGGATGAATCTGGTCACTGTTCACCGATCGGGAGAGAAATCTCGGCTGAGCTTGAAGCTGATTTCTGGCAAGGAGAACTGCGACAGACTTTTCTTTTCTGCATATTGCCTAGGGCCGCTAGCGTGAAGATGACTAGAGAAATTGAGGCTAGCGGGCTTGGTTCAACCGTTCTGATCCTGATCAGACGCTTAGGATTTTTTCTCTATTCCTTATAAGCATTTTTTTTTTAAATCCTCCTTTTTTTCTTCTGCTTCTTTTTTCTTTTTCTTTTTGTTTTTTTGCAGGGACGATCCAATTGTGGCTCCTTTTTTAGTTCTCCACGCGCTAGAGCAATTGCGAGTCTGGTATTCTATTATTTCAAGTGACTTGAAAGTGATGCCATTCATTGTAAAGGAAGGAGCTTTGGCCGATTGCCGATCGTGGGCGTGAAGACCAGCTATTTTGTCGGTGTGAAGACCGACCACTTCGTCGGTGTGAAGACCGACCACTTCGTCGGTGTGAAGACCGACCACTTCGTCGGTTTGAAGACCGACTATTTTGTCGGTGCGAAGACCGGCCACTTCGTCGGTTTGGAGACCGGCTATTTTGTCGGTGCGAAGACCGGCCACTTCGTCGGTTTGAAGACCGACTATTTTGTAGGTGGGAAGACCGGCCACTTCGTCGGTTTGAAGACCGACTATTTTGTCGGTGCGAAGACCGGCCACTTCGTCGGTTTGGAGACCGGCTATTTTGTCGGTGCGAAGACCGGCCACTTCGTCGGTTTGAAGACCGACTATTTTGTCGGTGGGAAGACCGGCCACTTCGTCGGTTTGAAGACCGGCTATTTTGTCGGTGCGAAGACCGGCCACTTCGTCGGTTTGAAGACCGGCTATTTTGTAGGTGCGAAGACAGGCCACTTCGTCGGTTTGAAGACCAGCTATTTTGTCGGTGCTTGAAGCGGTCTTATCGGAGCTTGAAGCGGTCTTGCAGGAGCTTGAAGTGGTCTTGCTAGGGCTTGAAGCGGTCTTGTCGGAGCTTGAAGCGATCTTGCCGGAGCTTGAAGCGGCAGGGGCTTGTAGCGGTAGGAGCTTGCAGCGGTCCGTTAGGAGCTTCTAGCGGAAGGAGCTTATAGCGGCAGGAGCTTGTAGCTGTCCGGCAGAAGCTTGTAGCTGTCTGGAAGGAGCATGAATCGGTCAGGCAGGAGCTTGTAGATGTCTTACCAGTTTTGCCAGTTTCAAACGATGGTGTTTCCCTTTGTCCTTGTGAAGAAGATGACACTGCCGATTCAAACTTAAGAGGGGAGTGGCAGAGTAGAATTCTTCCCGAGCTGCAGCGGCGTGTTTTTGACGCCAATTTTAGGTGATTCTAGGCGTTGCTTGTGGTAAGAACCGGCAATCATTGCACTTTTCGATCCCGGCGGAAATCTAGGAGGCGGATTGTCACTCGCACTTCAAAGGGAGAAGTTAAAATTTTAAGTATTTACTTAAAATATTTAGGACACCGAGGCTGAGGAGTCGCAGTTGCTCGTGCTGTGTTATTGACACGATGGTGGCGTTGTGGAGACATCATTTGAAGCTCCGCTTCAATCAACTTCTGGTGAGGAGGAGACCAAAGTATTCCTCTAGCCTTCACCATTCATCTGTCTTTTTCGTAAGCCTTCTTCTGATATTTTCTCTGACGAAATGACTTAATTGGGATTTATTTTGTTATAACTGAACTCAAAATTGAAACTTTTGAGCTGCCTACGTACTCCTATGACAGAGATCAAGTCAAACGTAGTTCACAATACCATTTGAATAGGTAATTTAAAAAAGAGGTGGGGTGCCGTACACAGTTTTAACTCATGCGGGCCAGGAGCTTGCCGTACACATTTTTAACTCTCGTGGGCCAAGAGTATCTATGATTATGCTCACCCATAGACAAAGTGAGATGTTTTAGCAGTTTAGCCACTTACAACATCATTGTTGGTTTAAGGCTTTCAACATTTTATTTGACATATCTATACCCCGACATCAAGGGTACTGGATCGTTAGAGTATGAACTCACATATTGGTCTTCATATTGACCACGGGTATGCACAATGGTCACTGGCTTGACTTTGAGTGCACTTCCATAGGTTACTTTAACACTGGTTTCTCGTTTCATACGAGATGGGATAAAACTTCTATACTCATTAAGACTTTGCTTTTCGAGAGGAACTTTAGTAGATGTATTGCGTTCATGTTTCAATCCCAATCGTTCATGAACAGACGTTCTTTTGAAGTTTTGTCCTGTGCATGTGTCTTCAACGTGTTTCATCATCATTGAGCTCATTCCAAGCCGTTCTTGTAAAGTCATCTTCATAACTTTCTTTGGCTTTGGACCCAATCTATCAAAGATGGAGGGCCTTGATTTTGCCCCCTCAATCTGATCAAAGACTGAATACTTCAGTTTAGAAATTACTTCATCTTCTTCATCAGCACTAATATGATGCGTTGCGACTCTATTTATGAGGATCCTTATGGGTTTCGGCTGAACATAACCCAATCCTGTCTGCCCTTGAAGATTGATCTGCTTCAGTTTCTCTTCACCATCAGCTTCCGGAATGAAATTTCCCAACCTCTGTTCGTTGGGATTATTCCCAGCCTTGGCTAGAAGTTTGAATGCGTTTGGGTCAAATCTTTCATTTGTGCGTGCCTTAGGGAGCTGAAACGTCTTAACATCATTCTCGTTTTTCACTTCCTCCTCAGACATGTTTTGAGGCGGCCTTAATATCTCAATCTTTGGAAGAGTGAATGTAAGCCCTTCTACGCCTTCAACAAGCTTTCCTTTCAGCTTTGGTCCAATCAAGGGGCGATATTCTTCCTCTTGTCTAGCATTGTCATCTTTAGAAACTTTGGCCTTTAGGTAAAACTTCGCATCTGCAAAGTATGTCTCGGCTTCTGTGAATGGAGTTTCATCGGCCACTACCTTCTTTACAACGCCATTTTGCTCATACATGAAGCATTGGTGCCATGTTGAAGGAATTACACCGTTCTCATGGATCCATGGGCGGCCCAGAAGAAGATTATATGAAGCCTTTGCGTCAATGACATGACACAGAGTGCTTGCCTTCAGCCCACCAATGACCAAATCAAGATGTATCATTCCAATCGCCCGTTGCCCCCCTTGATTGAAGCCTTGGATCATTAAGCGGCTTTGGGAGAGTTCATCCATTGATATATCAAGGTCTTTCATAGCTTGAACCGTCAAAATGTTAACGGCAGACCCTTGATCTATCATAATTCTTCTGAATCTTTGTCCACGAGTGTATCCTTCAACGAAAAGCGGACAGTTATGGGGAGTAGCACCCAACATGAGATCTTCATCTTTAAAGACAATGCCAGTGGCGTATGAAGTAGATTTTTGTGCTTCGGCCACTTCTTTCTTAGTCAAAACTAGAGATGAACATCCACTTGAACTCTCAACTTCTTCCTCATTGGTGCTAAGATAAGAACTTGAAATTTGAGTCATCTCATTCTTGAAATCCTTTGGCATAAAGTCGTTGAGAGTAATCACCCTTCGTGCAGCCTTGGAACGAACACGATCCTTCCTTTGCTTCTTTTGCTTCAACTTGTTTATAGGTTGTTGCTTGACCCATTTCTTTACCACCTTCATCGGTTGTGGCTTATGTTTGTGGTTCTTATTTTGTTTATCTCGGGCTACTAAGATCCATGGATCTTCTTTGTCATTATTTTCTTTATCTCTCATGCTTTTCTTGAAACGAGAGTCGTTCCCCATCACTTCGATAGTAAAAGGAAATCTTTGATTGTGAGAGTTCTTGCTCTCTTCTTTCGAGTCATCTTTGACCATGAATGGAGAAAACATACCAAAAGTGATGGCAACTTGGTTTGTGCTTGCAGCAGAATCGGCGAGCTCAATCTTTCCATCACGAGCTAGTGCCATGATTTTGTCTTTAAGAACCCAACACTTCTCAGTGGGATGACTTAGAATTCGATGATAGTTGCAGTATTTGGGGTCATCAACTTTCATGGCTTCCTCGGGTCGCTTGGACTCGGGCAAACTGATAAGATTCAATCTCATCAGTTCCTCAAACATGAGAGGAACGTCAGAGTCTAAGAAGGGGTACTTCTTTTCCAACATCTCTTCTAGAAATGGCTTAACGCGTTTTGACGTTTCCAAGTCAACCCTAGGGACTTGTTTTGAATTTTGAGTGAAGATCTTAACAGGTGCAACCTTCGCGACCATTGCTTCTTTCTTTTCAAACTTGGAAAAGGGCTTGCCCCCATTCTTGGTATCTTGCTTTTCAACAACATCATTGATGGGATATATACCCACAGTTTTCCTTCTACTGCTCGTAATGCTCAACTCCATGTTACGAGCTTTGCTTGCTAGCTCATCAAAAGTGTTTGGATTGACTCCTTTGAGAATGTAGCACAATTCCCAATGCATTCCTTCAATGCACATATCGATAGCGGAACTTGTAGATATTCGTTCTTTGCAGTTTAGAGCAAGATCCCTCCAACGCTCTATGTAAGCTATCACAGATTCATCTTTCCATTGATGAGTAGTTGTTAGTTCGAGTAAGCTGACCACTCTCCTTGTGCTATAAAAACGGTTTAAGAACTCACGTTCCATATCTTTCCAGCTATCAATGGAACCGGGCTCCAAATCAGTATACCAGTCAAAGGCATTTGCTTTCAAAGAACGCACGAACTGTTTGACAAGGTGATCTCCGCTTGTTCCCGCATTATTGCAAGTTTCCACGAAATGGGCAACATGTTGCCTTGGATTTCCCTTCCCATCAAACTGGATGAACTTCGGCGGCTGGTAACCAATGGGCATCTTTAGATCCTCGATCCTTTGAGTGTATGGCTTAACATAGGAGTAAGTAGATTTGCTTCCTTCCATCTTCCCCTTTATGGTTCCCATGATGAAGTCTTTAAGTTGATCAATCGGGATCATGCCCCCAGAAGTTGAGATATCCTTCCCTGAATCCTCTTGGTTAGGATCATTTTCTTCGTTCACTTCGGGATCCTTCTCATGAGTATGACTTGACTCGCCTTTCAAGCTTTCTACTTTGTTGTTCAGATCACTCAACTTTTGGTCTTGAGCTTGCATGAACATACTCATCCCTTCGATGACTTTAGTTAGATGGGCGATCTGTTCTTCCATAGACGTGGTGCTCGTTGTCATGGTGGGCATCACAGTATAGACATTTGACCACTGCGGAGTAGTCCTTCGTGGAGGAGTTGAAGGGGGAGTGAAGTCTGATCCAGATGATGAGCTCTCACCACCGCTTGTCCACTTCGGGGAAGTAACTTCACGTATGGGTGAAGAAAACTTCCGGGCCATCTCTTGCGCAATTCGAGATCCATCCATTGCATCGGGAGTAGTTCCCGAGGATGACTACGCAGCCAGGATTCTTGATCGGCTCCTAGTGATAGGGCCTTGCATGTTTTGATTTGAGCTTGATGATGCTCGAGAATTCAAAGTGAACATGGGCTTGCTTGACGCCATTGTTTTGTTTTCCTTGATTAAAAGTGAAGAGATGAGAGGTAGAGTTGTCCCACTGGGCGTGCCAAAAATTTGTGAAACAAATTTTAAGTATTTACTTAAAATTGATCGCAAATAATAATATGTGAGAATATCGGGTACAATCTCTAAATATGAATCCTCTGATTCTTCACTTGCAATTTGATATGAATATAATTAAAGAATTTAATTTAAAATTAAATCTCTAATTCTTCAAATATTCGAACGTTCTTCGAATCTTCGAATCTTCGTTCTTGAGATCTTCAAATCTTCGAACTTCGTTCTTCAGATCTTCAAATCTTCTTGAATGCAAAATTCAATATTGAAGGGCCTCCGGTTTCAAGTAGCTTGATCTTCAACAAAAGGGCCATTATGTGGCTTGATCTTCTGTTAAAGGGCTTCCCGGGATATATGGCTTGATCTTCAATTGAATATTGATTCAATCTTCATATGAATATCTTCAAATCTTCAAAGACTCGTTCTTCATATCTTCGAATCTTCAAAGCTTCGTTCTTCAGATCTTCGAATCTTCAAGCTTCGTTCTTCAGATCTTCGAACGTTCTTCAACTTTTGGCTTTGTTTGATCAAGAATCGATGAAATCACAAAGGATTATTCATATATTCTTGACAAAAACGTGGCTTGATCTCTTCCTCTTCTTCGGAATCCTTCAGAGCCTTTCGGGAGTTCTTCGGAGCTTTGCTGCAGCGTTTCTTCGTCTGGAAGTTCTCCTCCCATTCTCTCAAATGAGACCCCTATTTATAGGTGTGGAGGAGGTGAAAATATGGCCTAGGGTTGCTGAAATTCGTCCATACCTCATGGGCCTCAATTAAAATGGGCTTCGGGCTCTATTTTCTTGCATTTTAATAGCTAGAAAAATTAGCACTTATATAATGTATCTGGACAGCCTTTTTAACAAGATTCGCAGCCACTTTCCATGCATACAAACATATTTCTTAACCAGATTCATTGCTCTCTTTATCGATTGGGTATATCTCTTATTATACTGGGCCACAATTTAGTAATGGGCTCAAAATAAAGAAATTAATAGGACCAGTCCATTCTTCTAAAGGTTTAATTAAATTAATTGGATATTTCAAGTGATCCAAATTAATCTAATTACTAAATTCTATCTGAACGGATCCATATTAATATTTTCCTTTTGATATGAGTGGTCCAGTAGAATCCGATTTTGGCCCAATAAATTCAAAAGAGGCCCAAAAAGGTCAATTATAGCTCGATACCATTTGAAGAGGCCCAATAATCATCTCAACTAGTCCAATAATTTTTATATGTCCACACACAGTT